CATCTCCAAGGGGGCTTCAGGAACAGGCTGGACTCACTGAGGCTGAGCAAACCTCCTGTTTTCTGGGCTGAGCTGGATAAGGATCACCCCCCTTGTGTGGCACCACAGGGAGCAGTGGCTTTCTGGGGTCCAGGGCCATCCCCTGGATGTCTCTGAGGGAATCTCCTTGAGGACACAAGGCTTGTTTTGGAGCAGAAGGGGAAGGAAGTGATTTCAAAAGTCCTGTAGTAAGAACAAGGGGGGTTTTGTTGTTTGGTTGTTTTTTTGGTTTTTTCTTTTTTTTTAAACAAAGAAGTTTCAGGGTGGGACCCTGCGCTGGTCTCCATGGTCTCACTGCTGAGAGCTGAGAGCAAAAATAATGGCCCACAAAACTACTGGAAAATGGCTTTTTCTCCAGCACCAATGGGAACTTTCTCCTGAGTCTTTCTGTGGCTTTTCTTTGCTGTGGATTTCATGAGGATCAGGTGAAAAATGGGAGCATGGGATGCTATGCCACTCCATCCCTTGAACCAATCTCCAGCTGGAGCTAAATCCATCGTGGTTGTGTTTGACCCCCAGGCTGAGCTGCTGGTGGGTCAGCCAAGCTGTAACCCCACAAAATTTGGGGGCGACTGGACCCCACAATCCAGCTGCCCACGCCCATTGAATCCCACCGAGCTGCTGCCAGAAGTCCAGGCACAGCTGGGGCCACTCCTGCACAGCTCCTCAGCAGCTCTGGAAATAGAGAAACGAGGAGAAAGAAGCCTTTTTTAGGAACCCAAACACTATTTTAGGCTGGGACCATTACATGGATGGGTTGCTACTGCTGGTTTTAGGAGGACTTATTTTGAGGGCATGTGTTTACTTATGTTATGGAATGCCAGATCAATTGAAAACCTCCTCCAGCAACAAGTTCTGTCCTCCAGGACACCTCTTCCAGCAGCTCCTGCTGCTGCTACTTGTTTAAACTGTTTCGAATAAGACCTTGAATGGGTTTGTTTGCTTTTTTTTTTAATCTCTCTTATTTACTATTTTCCAGGCAGACCCAGAGGAAGTGGAAATGTCATGAAATCTGGCAGAAAACTCAGCATCTGTGCTCCTAAGAAAGCCATCAATGGGGCCAGCAGAAGCAGAGATGACCTTCCAGAGCTGAATTTTGTGACTTTTTGTGATCCCCTGCTCCCTCCTGGACAGGCTGCAGAGCAGAACCATATCTGGGAACCCATAGCACACACAGCCCAAGCCTATGGGTTAATTTTAACACACCTCCCCCGGCGTGAGATGTTTTATTTATTTATGGTCTTCCTAAAAGCATAAACACTTTTGGCCACAACAGGATGCTTGTGTTTTAGGGTCCAGCAGGCAGCTCCTTCTGCCTGGGAGTTTGTGGCAGCACCCCTACCCCTCTTTGCAAGCATCATCCTGAGGGGGGAAAATGCACTTGGAGTCTGAAAACCTCTCCAAAACACCTGGGTTACGCAGGAGCTGGGAGGAAAAGTGAGTGGCACCTCCATCACCCTTCTGATGGTGAGGAGGAGGAGATGAGGGACATCACATGTGCTCAGTGGGGAGGAAACGAAAGCTGGGCTAAAAAAAAAAATCCCCAACCGTTGGTGGAGAAGGGAAAATCCCCACCCAGATGGGCACAGCCACAGAGCAAAGCCCTCCTGCACTGAGCAATGTGCTCAGGGCTCGCTGCCTGCAGCTGCTTGCCCCAGAGAGCCCCACATGCTTCAGATCTGCCCAAATTCCCTGTTCCGCACAGAGCAGCAGCTCCAGACAGCTCCCTGTGCCCTGTCTGCGCCCATCTGTCAGTTCCTGTTCAAGGGATTAGTGGGAAAGGGTGGAAAGGGGAGGAAAGTGTCTCTCTGTGCCCAGCAGCGTCTCCTGGGTGTTGCAGCCTTAGAGGGGGCAGCAGGAGATGCCTCCAGAGCGTGTGTGGATGAGGGATGGCCAGAGGGACTGGCTCCAGCTGCAGAGCTGAGGAAATGGCCTCAGGTTACACTGGGGAGGTGAGATTGGAGATTCAGAGAGGTTTCTTGACTGAAAGGGTGGTCAGGCATTGGAACAGGGAAGTGGCAGAGTGGTGGAGGTGGAACTTGGGGATGTGGTTTAGCAGGGAGCACAGCAGTGCTGGGTTAACACTGGACTCCATGATCCTAAAGGGCTTTTCCAACCCTACTAATTCTATGACTCTGTGTTTTACAGCCTCAGCTCCCACCTCCAACCAACCCACCCTATTTGGCTGCTGGGAAGGTGCTTCCACGTCTCTCTCCAGCCCCACCTGACCTCATCTCCAGTGCACCCCAAGGGCACTGTGAACAGAGGTTTCTTTCTCCAGCTGCATTGGCTTTTGCTGCCCCTTGAAAGTTGTTGGTGGTCCTGAATAAGAACATCCCGGACAGAGAATTCAGGCAGTCTGAGAAACTGCAAAGTCACATCTGCTCCCATGGGATGTCCCTCCTGCAAGCCCAGTCACACAGGGCAGGGCTGGAGGCTCAGCCCAACACACCCAAACTGTCTTCCTTGCTGCACCTAAGGCTTTAAAAACAAAATAAAAGGAAAAAGAAAAAAAGAGCTTTGATATATGCCAGCCTGTCTCCATCACTTCTGCCGGTGTCTCCCTGCATGTTTGAGCTGCACCCATGGGTGCAGCGCAGGCTCTGCTGTGGCCAGCCTAACCTTCCCGGTACACCCATTCCTGTATCACATTCCTGCATGCTAGTCAACACGGGAATGTTTTGAAAGTGTCTTAGAAACCTGCCGGGCTGCCAAAACAGTTGAAAAATGAAGCCGCGAAGGGAAACGTGGGGCTGCTTTCCAGGTCGGCTCTCTGGGTATTGCCTCTGTCTGTGCTGCAGCTGCACAAATCATTTGCTTTTCAACACGATTTAAAACATCTGCCTCTTCCTTGAGCTGCCGTGGAGCTGGGAAATGGAGACTGGGGGTGAGGGAGGCTCTGGGTTTGGGTGCCCTGGGTGATAGGTGCATGAAGGACAGAAATGAGTAAGCTGGGTTTAGGGTTGACGCCCTCCTTCCATCTTCCTCATGCCCAAAAGAGAGGAGAAAAAGCAAAAGAAGGGAAAGGAAAGGTTTTTCCTTGCAGTGGGCAGTGAAGCTGGGAAGGTCCTGCTTGCTGGAAGCTGCTGGGACATCAACCAGTCTTAGGAAAGGTCTAATGGGAAGAGGGCTCTCCAGGGGACACTTCCCTGCTCCAAAGCAGCTTTTGGAAAAACATCTCCTCTGTCCTGCTGAAGCACTGAGCTGCCAAGCAGCCCTTGCAGCCGGCCTGGCCACAATTAATCACCCCTGGAGATGAGGAAGGCGCCTGCCTCTTGTTTTTAGCTGTTTGCCTTCATCTTGAGAGGAAGAGCTGCAGGTGTTCAGACCTTGGAGGACCAGGCTGGGGGAGATGGCGCCAGACAGGGGCTGTTGAGCAGCAGCGATCACCCCACGGGTCACAGCTCCTGCAAGGACAGCAACAACTCCCTGGACATCATCCATCACCTCTGGACATCATCCCTCCTTGGGAGGGTGAAGGATTTGGAGGATGAAACCAAGGTGCTGTGGTTGGGTGAACCCAAACTTTGCCCATTAAGTCTTTCCATAATCCAGGAGTAATGGGCTGGACTCAGCACCCAGGTCACTGCTGGGCAGCTTCACCCAGCTGAGCCTCACTCATCAGTTCTGTGCAGGCATCTCCCTCCCTCTGGGCAAGCAGCAAGCCTGTCCTTCCTCCCTTATCAGCCCCAAATAGCTGCGATGTGATGTATTGTTTTCCCTCCTCAAACAAATTACATCAGAAGAAGGAAACAGGAATTTATTTTTTTTGCTCTTTTCTGGCATGGAGGTCCATGAGCAAGATCTCTGCAGCACTATGTCCATGCCAGGAGTTCATATCCTCTTAATGCCTCCTTAGCCAGCTGCCACTTTCTGCTGCTGAATAATAGATGCCATTGGTGTCCTTCCCTGCCTCCATCGGGGGCTTCACAGCACCCCCAGCCACAGCCAGGGGGCCCAAGGACCCCCACATGAAATCAGATCCAGCTGGGGAAGGAGGATCTGGCTGTCACCCAGGGACACAGATGGGGAACACTCGGGGGAGCACCGGCAGCGGAAAACAACGGGGCCACCTGCACGTGATCCTGTGGGGCTGTGCCTGTTCCTCCAGCCCCCCCAGATCAGGAGGTTTCTCACCCAGGTCAATGAGGAGGGTTGGGTTGGACCTGTCCACTGCTTCCCTTGGGCAGCAGCCACCTGCAGGAGAGGGCAAGATGTGAAAGTGGTGCTGGTCCTCCACAGCTTCCTGCAGCTTCCTGGGAGGATGTGTCATGTAGGGCTCTATGGGGACAGCAGGTCAGAGGATACAGCAAGGAGCAAACCTCGAGCAAACCTTCTGCCATGTCTCCTGGTTCCAGCAATGATGAGAAGTCCCAACATCCCAGTCCTGGCATCACGCCCAGTCTTAGCACCCGTGGAAGTGAGTCCAGTCTCAGTCCCAGCTCCAATCCCATCCATGATCCCACTCCCAGGACAGAGAGGTCCTGTCCTTGTCCTAACTCTGGCCCCCTCCCCGGGAGAGGATTCGGGAAGCAATCGTCTGTTTCCAATGTCAGTCCCAATTCTGATGCCATCCATGCCCCCATTTCTGGAGGATGGGGGGTGTCTCCTGTCCCAGCCCTAATCCCGGTCCCATTCCCGGGGGAGAAAGGGGAGAGAGGTCGGTGCCCGGCCCCGATCCCAGCCCCAATCCCATCCATACTCCCATCTCCGGGGGAGGGAGTGAGGGCTCCTGCTCTATCCCTAATCCCGATCCCATCCATAGCGCCATCCCGGAGGGGAAGGAGGGGGGGCGGTCGGACGCCTGTCCTGGCCCAGCGCTGATCCCACGCACGTTCCCATCCAGGGAGGAGAGCTCCTGTCCCGTCCCCGGGGGAAGGGGCGGTCCCGGGCCGGGCGGGGCGGCTCTGGCCGCGGTCCTGCCCCGTCCCAGCGCCGTTCCCAGCGCCGGCAGGGCGGTGCAGCCCCGCGCCCGCCCCGGCCCGGCTCACACGCGGCGGCGGCACCGGCACCGGCAGCGGCACCGGGCCGGGGCAAGGACCAAAGCCGGGCATGGCACAGCCTCCGCCGCCCTCCTGAGCGCGGCGATCGGCGCTGAACCCCCGGCTCGGCATCGCCCGGTGAGCGCGGCCGCAGCGGGCGGGGACCGTGGGGGGACCACGGGGGGACCACGGGAGGATTTGGGGGGATGTGGGGGTGCGTGTCCTGCCCACTACAAGGAAGGACAGGCGGCGACCTCCAGGGTCGAGCGGGAAACTCGTGCATGGGGTGGGAGTGGGGACACGCACATGGGGGAGAAGCGACGCGCACGGGGGTGAAAGGGACACGCACACACATGAGGAGGGGACACGCACACACATGAGATGGGGACGCGCACACACATGAGATGGGGACACGCACACACATGAGGAGGGGACACGCACACTCATGAGACGGGGACACGCACACACATGAGAAGGGGACACGCACACACATGAGAAGGGGACGCGCACACACATGAGGAGGGGACACACGCACACACATGAGGAGGGGACACGCACACACATGAGAAGGGGACACACGCACACACATGAGGAGGGGACACACGCACACACATGAGAAGGGGACGCGCACACACATGAGGAGGGGACACACGCACACACATGAGGAGGGGACGCGCACACACATGAGGAGGGGACACACGCACACACATGAGGAGGGGACGCGCACACACGTGAGGAGGGGACACACGCACACACATGAGAAGGGGACGCGCACACACATGAGGAGGGGACACGCACACACGGGGGTGGGACACAAACACCCGCATGTGACACACACACACGGACACACACTTGCACGTACTCGCGGTGCTGGCGGCACTTGTTGCTGTCTGGGTGACACGGGTGGCACAGGGTTCCAGAGCCGGGAGTGCGGCACTGCACGGACACAGCCGCAGCCCGACTCTGCTGCTCCCTCCTCTCAAGCCCACATAGTGCCCGTGCTGCCGCTAAAAGTGCCCAAAAGTCCCCAAGTGCCGCAAGACAAGGCAGTGGAACCAGCAGCCGGCAGGGAGTGGGTGCTGGCACAAATGGTTCAAACCGGACACTCAGGGAAGCCTCCTGCTCCTTCTGCTCCTCTTTGCCCGAACTATTGGACTTTCTAATGTATTAATTCACAATTATATCTCTGCCTTCCCTGTGGAATTCGCTGGCTGTTTGTCCATGATTTCCTGTACACAGGTCAGGTTAAACCATGGAGCTGACTCCCTGCTTTGCTCTGCGTGTTTTTCCACCTCTTTGCATGCTGGGCTCCCTATGTAATTTCTTTGGGAGTGTTTTAATTTACACTGCAATGGTGATACTCTCATTTCAAACTTTTTGACTCCTTCTAGCAGCTCCTGAGCTCCAAAACACCCCTCTTCCCAGAGCTGGGCACTGGCTGACATCACTGCAGGAATGACTTTAGGGGCAAAACATCTCATTTCTCTTTCTGCTCCAGTTTTCTTATCAGTTTATTGCAAAAGCCATTTGGCAACCCACTGCCTTCCTGTACACGAGGTGAGGATCAGCAAACCCGGCTCTGGGGGCCACCAACACTGGGGGATGGTGGCCTTAGCTCGTGGTTGCTGCTGCCAAAATTAGGCCGTTTCATTACCACCAAATTCCTCTTGTTTTCCCTCAGGCAAAGGGTGGCTGATAGGTTCAGGGGCTCCAGTGCAAAGGGAGAGACCCCAAAACGCGCTGAGCCCCAAAGCACAGCCACATCCCAGGGCTTAGAGGGTTATAAAAGCCCCAGAAGGATTTCTGACAGCCATGGCACTGAGTGACTTTATCCTGTCTCTGCCCAGTGCGATTTTTATCTCGGGTTGTTGACACAAAGCCAAAGCCACGAATAGTTCTCTGGCAGCCGAGCGTACTGCCGGCCACGCCGGGCTCCCTCCTCAGTGCTGAGCAGCCCCCAGTAAAACCTGATTGGGAACCACCCATGAAGCAAAGACCCTATTGCCTCCATGGGATACTGCCTGTGGAGCAAAACTTTATCCCCCATAGTCCACCCCTGCGGGGTTTTCTGGTGGGGCCATGGTAGAGCCCAGTAATTGTGTTATCCTGGTTGTCCCCCAGAGTGCCTTTGGTTTTTCCAGGGTGGTTATGACTCCCTTGGTGTGGGCAGGAGGCTGGGAGGTCTCCATGGAAATGTCCTTTCTCCATAGAAAGACACGGAGCTTGTGGGGTTACCAAATCAGCCAGAAACTGGTCCTACACTCTTCTCTCTGACTTTTGCTTCTTCCAAAGGAATCATCAAAAGGTCATGGAGGGCAAAAGCAAAGTCAAACTCCTGACAGAAACACCACCTTTGTACCTCCAGGAAGCCTAAAGGATGCAAGTGCTCAGTTTCCCCTATGGAATAATTAAAACTGGAAGCTTGAGGGGTCAAATGGGATTTGCCCCAATCCCACAGCAGGGAAAAACAGGCAGGGAGCATCCCCTTTTCTGAAGCAGGAAGGGACGTATTGATGAAGGGATTAAATATTGGCCAGGGTTGATGTTTGCTTCCAGAAGGATCCATCCCCAGAGCCCTGCCATGCTGGGAATTGAGTCAGGTTCAACCGTTGTCACCAATGCTTTTAATGCTTTCTTAATTAACTTAATTTTTGCTTAATCCCGAATGATTTCCCATGGTGTGGAGCAAGGCAGGAGGTTTTGATACCCCCTGGGAAGCAAAAGCTGTAAGGGAGATTGACTCAGGGATTTTTCTTGGGGAAAACCAGAAATTCCCATAAGAAGTGATTTCTCTCAAAGCAAAACATTTTATTTGACCTCCAGACAAAGTCATAAAGTTCTTTTAAACATGCTGTATCTTTTCTCCAGACTTTCTCTCCCCTTTTTAGCTTGGATCAAGTTACCAAAAAACCCTCTAGGAAACCAAAACACCCCCAGAAAAATATTTTTCATGGAGAAAACAAATTCAACTCTGCTGTTTTCTCAGCCTGGTGACAGGAGGGGAAACTGAGACATTTCTGGAGTGAAAAGGTGCTTTTTTTGTAGGGACAGAAACACAGATTCTTTGTGAGGTTTTGGTTTAAATGAGGTGTTCTGGCTATTTTGGGGGTGGAGGAAGGGGTAGGTCACACCCAACAGGGATAAAGGAGGGATGTTGCCGGGAAGGGAGATGGATAAAGCCCCTTAAAGCTGCTTAGCTATCCTGGAAATGAATTTTGGAGGTGTCTTGCCTTGGAATCAACTGGGAGAAGTGCTGGGGGTGATGGAGCTGGGACAACTGGGAAGGTCCTCAGCCCACACTGGTGGCAGGGGCCAGCCTGGAGGAGAATGGCTCTGAAGGTCACCATGGCAGAAAGGATCCAAAGGGAAAGGGCAGATGAAAAGCAGGCATTTTGGGCAGGCTCAGATTTTGGCCGGGGCCTGTCTCACAGCTCCGAGCAGACAGGCTCGGGAGCATCCGAACGCCTTGCCTGTTTGCTTTTGGTCACCAAGGGTTGGAACCACAACCCCAGGCAGAGAAAAACGATTCCAGGTCATTTGCTTCCCAGAGTCTCAAGCAGTTCCTGATCCTGTGCAAGGATTTTGATGAGTCTACTAAATGCCTCTGCATTAGGGCAGGGAAAACACCTACGTTCTCCGTGTATCCTTTGGAAGGGAGTCAGGGAGAAGATGTGGCGAAGGGATGGTGGTTTCAGCCTCCAGCATAAAATAATGGGAGCTGTGGCACAACCAAGGGCTGCCTCTGTGAGGTCCTGCTGGGAAATTAATCCACATTAATTATTTGGGAAGGCAAATTAAACCGCACCAGCCCCCTGTGAAAACGTGTTCATCGCAGCCGTGATTTGGTTGTGCTTTGTTGTCTTCAGTGACTTTGCTGCTGCCTGGCAAATTCCAGCATGAGGCACAGCTGGGATGGCACTGGGAATGCTGGAAGTGGGGCAGAAATCAGGGGTCATGGCCTTCACTTGGAAATTCAGTGCTCATCCCATGGTCTCCCTATGGAGTGCTGCCTACCCCTCAGCTGCCCTCAGTGACCTTCTCCCATGACAGCCCCCTCCTTTCCCATGTTGGCTGATCTAAATATCCCTGGCAGATACAGTTACAGGAGCATTTTGGGATTCTGACTTCATGTGCACATGCCTATGGATGCTCTATTTGAGGGTGGTGATCTGCCCAGGTTCCTCTTGTCACCAGGCTCCTCTCCTGTGCTGCCTTCATCCTCTGACACTGAGGGTACATGTTTTCTGGGAAGAAAACTCATGGGACTAGGACCAAGGCCACACTGCAGAGAGAGAGATGGTCCAGCCACTGCAATCTGCACGTGGTTCAACATGGGGGAAACTGCGTGTGGATGGCTGGAGGGCACCCAAAAATGTGTGCCTGGTCACCTGCATCCAATGCCAGAGCAAAAACCTCCCACTGTGCCCTCGGAAAGGTCCGGGAGATGAAGTGATGAGGCAGATGCAGATGGTTCTCAGCAAAGCATCGTGGTTTGTTTGCTTTTGGGAGTCAGAGAAGTGTTTATCCCGCTTGGCATCCTCACGGATTGCGGCTGCCTTCGCCCTCCCCTCGTCCCTGCCAGGGGCTCGGGGTGTCACAGCTGGCATTCGTGCCACCCGTGGGCACAGCAAAGGGCAGTGCCAGCTGCCAGCTCTTGTGCCTTCACATGCCTTGGCTGGCCTTGGCCTCTCCAGCTCGCTCCCTGCGGATGCAGCGAGGGGGTGGACGGCAGCCACGGGCCCCGCACACACAGCAGGTTTTGTCCTAGGGACTCTGGGCAAAATGAGGGTAAAAAAAGAGGAAGAAGAAAGGCTTTTGCATCCCCAAAAGGAAAAGGAGGGAGAGCACGACAGCAAGGACAAGGCTCCATTCAAACCAACCAGCAAACACTGTTTGCTCCTTATCCTGAAGGTGGAGAGGAGGGACTTGGCACATCCCTGGGCAGCCAGAAGAGATTCCCCACCTTGGCTAACAGATGGATTATGGTTGAGTTTTCTCACTGGGGTCTCAAGAGCCTGTGGGAAGATGGGCTGGAATTCAGGGTGATCTCCCCCCATCAGGGCTGGGTAGATTTCCCCTCATGTGCAGGGGAGAGAGGGAAAGCAGATGGAGAAATCCCATGCCAGGCTGAAGCCTCTGGAACTCTGTAACCCTTCCCTGAGCCTTTTAGGGCATCTTGTGTGGCTTCCCTCTGTCACAGTGGCCTGGCCAACCCATTTCATCGGCTGCCAGGTCTGTGGGCAACCTCTCAAAGCTCAGCGGGAAGGAAGAAACTGCAGAGAACAGCAGCTGGAAAATGTTTTCCCATCAGCCAGAGCTCTGTTAACCCTCTCCATCCACAGCCACACTGCTGAGGACTTGGGGGAGGCAGGATGGGAGCAAAGCTGATCTGAGTGCAGGAAAAGCAAAACCCCGAGGCCAGGACAGTGCTGGCTCCTGATTTTCATCACAAAGTGGTTCCCAAAGTTGTACTGGGTTTTTTGCAGCTAGTGCAGATTAGCTGGGGTGTGAGTGTGTGTGTGGTTTCCACCCCTGTCTTTGGGAAGTGTGAGCCTCAGCCAACCCTGTTCCTGCTCTGTTCCTAGGGGAAAGCAGCAGGATGAGGGAAACATCATCAGGAATGGTGTCAGTGCACTTCTGGACAGGTTGTTTGATCCAGTCCCCAGAGCAAGGACTGGAGTTATCCCCTTGTGATGGGCTGGAAGCATCCCTTCTCCTTCAGCAAAAGTTGTCAAGGTGATTTTTAGTATCAAAGTGCTTGACTTTGGTGAGAAATCATCCAGGCTTGCAGCTTTGAGGACACTGTCATTGCCTCCTTCCTTACAGGATCTGAGTTGGAAGTAGGGGCAGGATAGCTCTGGATCTGATGTTTATTTTGCAAGGAAAGGCATGGCCACACTGTCCCTCTACATGGTGGCACCAGGTCAGAGCTGAGCCCTTCACCTGAAAAGGCTGGGATTGCTCTTTTCCACCTAAAATCCTGGAGAGGTTTGGGTCATGGTGCATCCCACACACTCGTTCCAAGGGTACCTTTCCTGACACCTTTTCTCCTGCAGGAACTCCTGGTCCCTGAGCTGCTGGGATGGATTTGTCTCCTCATAACCCCCCATTTCCACAGGCTTCCTGTAAGGCAGGGAACAGCAGGGACATCAAACTGGCTTCTCTTACGGGAAGGGAGGAAATGCATTTTAATTTGATTCCTGACCCACGGACTCACTCGGATATCGTGTGTCAGCAGAGCCCAGGGCACAAAAGGGCCCTTGTCCCTCCTCACAGACAGGCCAGGCTCTGTGTGTTTGCAGAGACCCTTTCAAGGCCATTTTTCTCCTCACAGCTAATCAGTCCCATGCAGAAACCAGCTCTGCACAAGCAGGGCTGAAGGCCAGGGAGCAGGACAGTGACCTGGCCACCATTAGCCCAACACTAAACCCATTAAAGACCCCTCATCCTCATCAACAGCCAAGCCAGGCAGAGCCCCTGTGGTGGAGACCGTGCTCCTTTTGGCAAGGTTTGATTACAGGGCCTCTGGGTGTGGTGAGGTTTGCCTTACCAAAAGGAGCTGAAGACATCTGAAATCGGGGCTAGTCACGAGGGTTGCTTGCTGAAATTCCACTTTCTAATCCTTTCTGCCTGGAATTTAGCAGGATGCATTTTTAATGGTGCTCAACTGAGTCACCTTTCGTGTCTGGTTAAACACAGAATGGAGCGTCTTTCCTGTTCTATGATGCAGGAGAGCAAATTTCTGTGTGAACCTGATGGGAAGGGCGCTTTGGGACATTGAACTGGGCTGCAGGAGCTCTGAGGTGGACTCCCACATGTGGCCTGGGGTTTTTTGGTGACTTTAAAGCAGCTCAGTTCTCTTCCTCTGTGCTCCAGATGCAAAATGAGGTTAAATAAAACTCACTTCATCCACCTGACCATAATTCCCCCACGCCAGGGACTATTGTATCACCGACACCATGAGGCCGTGGTGTCTGTGGCCAGTGACGTGCTGTCCTCTTGCACCGTTGTCTCCATGTCCTTACAGCCTCTTTGCTTTCCCCCCAGGGTGATGGAGAACCTCACAGCTCCTCCAGCCTGGACCAGGGTCATCAACAGCTCCTTGGACCCAGGTGGCACAGATGACAACCCCTACAAGTGCGTGTTTGACGAGGACTTCAAATACGTCCTGCTGCCCGTCTCCTACGGCATCGTGTGTGTGGTGGGGCTCTTTCTCAACCTGCTGGCCCTCTACGCCTTCATCTTCAGGATCAAGACCTGGAACGCCTCCACCACCTACATGTTCAACCTGGCCATAAGCGACACGCTCTACGTGGTGTCCCTGCCCCTCCTGGTGTACTACTATGCCATGGGGGACAACTGGCCCTTCAGTGTGGGGCTGTGCAAGATCGTGCGCTTCCTGTTCTACACCAACCTCTACTGCAGCATCCTCTTCCTGCTCTGCATCAGCGTCCATCGCTTCCTGGGCATCTGCTTCCCTCTCAAGTCGCTGCAGTGGGGCCACGTGCGCCACGCGCGCAGGGTGTCAGTCGTGGTGTGGCTGGTGACCGTGGTGTGCCAGGCCCCCGTGCTCTTCTTCGTCACCACCAGCACCAAGGGCGACACCATCACCTGCCACGACACATCCAGCAAGGACCTCTTCGGCCAGTTTGTCATTTACAGCTCGGTCATGCTGGTGCTGCTCTTCTGCATCCCTTTCCTCATCATCATCATCTGCTACTGCCTGATGGCCCGGCGGCTGCTCCAGCCCACCCGGGGCATTTCCCGCCTCTCCCGCTCCAAAAAGAAGTCAGTGAAGATGATCATCATCGTCCTGGTGGTCTTCATTGTTTGTTTTCTTCCTTTCCATGTCACTCGCACCTTGTACTACTCCTTCCGGAGCTGGGACCTGAGCTGCCAGACCCTCAATGCCATCAATTTGGCCTACAAAGTGACTCGTCCCCTCGCCAGTACCAACAGCTGCTTGGATCCCATTTTGTATTTCTTAGCAGGGCAACGATTTATGAAGTTTGCGGGCAACAAAGTGCCGTGGAAACCTCAGAATGAGGTGGCGCTGGGCATCGTGCCCAACAGTCACCTGGGAACCAGCAGCGACACGGACACGCTCTCCAAGGATCTGAAATCCTAGCTCTGCTCCGCAGCAGAAGGGCTTATCCTGGGTGTGAAGTGGGGACAGGATGCTCTGGGGCCCGAGGCTTTGGGTGTTTGAGGTGCCCGGGCTTGCACCCGCTCCAGCGTGGTCTGTGTCGAACGCGCTTCTCTGCTTGTTTTGCTGTACTTTTTTCAGGAAGATGCAGCTCTGGTTGCACATGTGAACCCTGATCTCTGTCTCTGCATCCCAGCCTGCCCCTCTGATCAACACTGAGCTGACCAAATGTGGGGAAAAAAATCATGCCCTGAGTGCCTTGAGTCATTTTCCAAAGCAAGAACGCCGTGCGCAAAAGGTCCCCCTACAGAATTCCATCTGCAAATTGCCTGGCACAGGGAGAGCCGGAATTCCTCTGTGCCTTGGCAAGGCAGGAAGGGCTTTGGGTGGACGAGGAGAGTCAGCTGCAGTTCTGCTGAGCAGCTTGATGCAAATGTCAAGGACAAGTATCACCCACAGTGGGAAAGAGTCTCCCACAGCCTTGCATCCCTGCAGAAATGCTCTCCCAGCTTCAAGCTGGCAGAGCAGGGATGGGATTCCCAGCTCCTGTCCAAGGGCTGCCTTCCCATTAACCTGATGGACATTCCATCCCACTGGAGTGCACTGGTAGAGCCCACTGGAGTTTACTGGTATCGTCGAGCAGGTCCCCTGTAGGTTTCTCCAATGGGGCCAACATCTTCCAAAAAACCCATTAGTGCTTCCCAACAGCAGCAGTCACCCTTTAAAAAGCTTTTAGGAACCTGCAGCTTCCAGCTGCTGGCTTTAATAATCATCTCCAGCTCATTAAAATTTAAGGTGAGCTCTTCATGTCTTTTTTTTAACCCCCTTCCTGGTGACTCATGTTTCCAGCCCAGCAGCAAAGACCAGTGTTCATCCCCTTGGCTGAGTGCTGCCACGACCCCATTGCTGTCCCTCAGAGGTGACAGAATTTGCCAGCACTAAACCCCGAGTTGAGGAGCTGCAAGTGGTGCTGAGCTTCACCCCATTCTGCCTGGATTTGTAAAAAATGTCCACAAAACATTTCACTAGAAGGTGCTCCTGGTGTTTTTCCCTGTGATTGTTGGGTTGGAGAGCCCAGAGCCCAGGTCCATGGTTTCCCTGCCAGGAGAATGCTGATTCCTCCCCTAAAAAATGACAATTGCTCGAGCTGCAGCACTGGACGAGTCACATTTTGTAAAAGCTCTGTTTCAGAACTAGGCAAACACATTTGATGTTGTCTTAGGCCAAGACATTGGACCACTCCTTAGTTTCTCCCATCCTTCCTTCTTGTGAAGTTTGGTGGAGACAAAGCCACGCCGTGATGTCACCAGTGTATTCAGTCACGGGTGACTGGGACCATTCAGGGCTAACTGGGAGGTTCCTGTGGTCCCACCCCCAATTTGGGGGCTCTTGTTCCAACCAACAATGTCACAACCACAGGAGGCAAAGGCAAATAGGACATCTGTAGAGTGGTTCATGCCACCCTCGAGTGTGTTTGGGATAGGATTGGGTTAAGAGCAGACTGCACCATGGCAGCACCTTTATTCTTTTGTTCTTGTGAAGGGAGGGTCATGTGCTTGATGGTGAGGGTCATGGCACAGTCCCTGGGGCGAGACAAATAACTGGGAAAAATTAATTCAGCCAGGGCACTGAGCTGGTACAAATATCACTCCAGGCCAGGCCTTGCCTGCTCTCCCACACTTGCCAAAAAAGCAGCGCGGACACATTACGTGCTCTGCATAATTCAACAAAAACATACCCAAAGTTTCCTCCTCTGGTCCTGCTTGGAAATGCCACCTCCCCGAGCTGGCCTCGAGCCACCTCCCTGGGCAGCACTGCCAGTGCCATCAGGGGTGTCCCTCTGTGATCTTCATCCCCAGGTGATCCCACTGGCCAGACACAGAGCGGTTGGAGAGGCACCAGCTGGAAATCTAGCTCTAGACTTTTGGTTTTTGTTTTTGTTTGTAAAAGCACTAACTTATACTGGAGAGGGAAAAAATGGTGAGTTTTAAGACAGCGACTGTACATTTTTATTTTTGTAACATGCAAACACCTCGGATTTCTGATAGTAAATGAGTTTATTTCTACTACAAGCACTTCTCTGCCGTCTCCTCTGGTATGTAAAAAGATGGGTATTGGGGATAGAAACTGGGTTGTTGAATGCCATGGAAATATTTTAAGCTCCAGGTACAGCTGTCCACTCCTCTGTGAATCTTGATCTCCATCTAATTCAATGAATTCAATCTACACTCTTGATTCAAGATTTTAATGGAGCTAGTGCCACCAGTTCTGGCAAAACCCAGGTGCAGAGACAGCTCTGGGCAGGTCTACAGGGGACAAAACCCCTTGGAGTGTGACAAATTCAATACCCAACCTTTTTGCTTGTGCCTCCATGGTCTTGGTAGATTCTCTTAGGCTGCTCTTGTTGAAGACTAGAATAAATTGTTAGATTAAGTAATTAATTAACAAATCTCAAAATAATTAGTCTCCCATCCCGTTTAACTTGCTTTGTTTTTCTCATTTTCCCAGCCACTCAGAAGCCACCAAACCAAGATGTTGGAAACCTCTAGTTCTCAGAGGCTCCTCACCTTCCCCTGCAGACACCAGGAGAAGCCTAACCACAGTCCCCATGAAAAAATACATTTGGTTCCAATTAATTTTCATTTGATTTGCAATTTATCTTGGTCCCCAGCTTGGCTTTCACTGGGCCTTTCTGTCTAAGTGAAACAAGGCTCAGGACACACTCAGCTCCATGGATGTGTTAATTCCAAACTGTGGCCAAATCACCCTGCAGTCTGCTCAGGAATAATCTGGGCAGCTCAAAGAGGAACTTCCAGGGGATATGGATGATGTCTGCAAATGTAATTTCATGGAAACCCACTGCTCTGTGCATCCCTGGAAGTGTTCAAGGCCAGGCTGGACAGGGCAGGGGCAAGGTGTCTCTGCCCATGGCAGAGGGGTTAGAATGAGATGATCTGTAAGGTCCTTTCCAACCCAAACCTTCTGTGATTCCATGACCCTATGATTCTATTAATTCCTTCACTTTTCATCCTGAAGCTGTTTTCAAATCAGGAAATATACTTGGTGTCCCAACAATGACTTTAAGGGGCAGCCACAGTCACTCATCACTCTCCTGTGGGACAGAAGCCCTTCATGGTCCCCTGCACCAGGGCAGAAAGCTTTGCTTTGCTTACTCTTTCCAAGAACTTTGCAGCCCTTAGAGCTGCCAGAACACAAATTCTCAAAAGCATAAAGCCAGAGAAATAGCTGTGAGCCCCAGAATTGCTAAATTAGCTATCCCAGGATGCACCCTCTGAAAAGCCCCTCCTGATTTTCAGCCCAGGTTTTGGGGGTCTCTCTCTGGGGGCAATGCCCAAGGACCAAGGGCTCACACATGAATAGGTTTTACTTCTGGGATTTAGAGCGTAATTCCCAAATCTTTACTGCAATGACTCTGCACAGCTCATACCAGCACTGAGTCACCCAAACCCAAGAATGAGAATTAAGGAAGAAAAACAACCACTCTGGGGAGCACAGAGGATGTGCAGAGGAGCGAGCAGAAAAAAGCCACCCAACCACGCCAAGTGGTTACAAACCACTTCTTTCCTAAATTTCCCCTTAGCACAGGGAGCAGGAAGCGAAAGTTAAGAGCATTGATGGTTTCCTGCCGAGGAAACAAATCTGCCACATGGGCTGGAGGGATGCACACTTCTGCTGGACCTTTCCAGCATCCAAGTGGAGAGCTTTTCCTTCCTGATCATGCCTTCCTAGGAAGTCGGCCCTTAATGGGACAGTGACAGGCAACAGGCCATGTTGTTACTGTAAACCCTTGGTGCATCCACCTTTTTCCAAGTTCTGTCTCAATTTCTTTTCTGGTTTTCTGCCTTGGGGGCTGGATTATCCAGAGGAACAAGTCTGTCTGCCCCTCCAAGTCATTCCTGATCTGGTTGGCCAGTTTGATTCAGGGACAAAGTTGCCACACTGTTGAGCTCCTACAAAATTTCATGGGAAATTGTGATGTGAAGGAGAATGAGCCAAAGCAATTGTCACCCAACAGCTCAAAATCTGTTTTAGACACCAGAAAAACCTCCCCTGTGCCAGAACCTGTGGTGGTTTGGAGAGTGATGTGTGAGGGAAGGTGAGAGGCCCAAAGGCCACCCAGCAGGCCAAAGCTGTGTTCAAACACGGGGCAATTCACAAATCCCATAAACCAATATTATTGCAGAAATTTCCCCAGTATGGATGGGCCAAAGCAGCAGTTGCTCAGGGAGAGACCAAGCCAGTGGGTGTTTCAAATAACACGTCAATCACCCAGCTTTGTAAGGAGTTTATTTGAAGACTTTCACAGCTTCAATACCAATATTTGCAGACTCTGACAAATAAATGTGCATGAAAACCTGAAAGTTTAAAATAACCCTCTTTAAACATGATTTCTCCCCAGATACCTGCAGTTTTAAGCCCTGGTTAAGCATCAACATTTTGGGGGGTGTTTTGGGGAGCAGCTGGACTGTGCACATGTAGGCACACATGCATGTGTTGTATATAAGTACACAGACACCCACAGCCCCACTTTTCCATGCTTCAGGATTGGAGGAGGTTTGGAACCCTCAAGCCTATTGCCTGATCTGCTAAGGGCAGAGCAAAGCTTTAGAAAAAAGCCAAAAAATTCAGAAAAAAATCAGCCAGAAAAAAAAACCCAAAACCTAATTTATATGAGAACAGCAATTCCACAAATCCTCCCAGTCAGCTGAAATCTTCCTGGCTGTGGCTCCTCACTCACAAGATGAGCTGCAAGGTCTCAGCTTGGTGCTGGAGGCTCCCACTTTTGCAGCACCCCCAAACCCCTGGGTGGCTTTTGCAGCCCCCTTCAATGCTGCTGGTGGGAGAGCAGGAGATTCTCTCACCAGACCCTTCTCCTCTGCTTTTGCCACTCACTGTGGAAAGGCACTGTATCACAGCCCCCCTTAAATCCTGGGGGAGCCTCGAGATGCCCTCAAACCACCAAGCTCCCACCTTTGAACTCGGAGAGAAAGGGCTGAGGGGTTTTCAGCTGAGATCTCAGCCTGTGGGGGACCTTGGGAGATGGTGGGAAGTACATGGAAGATGCTGGGCCCAGCAGTGCAAAATCCATCCTGGGCTGATTTTTAATGGAGAAACAATTTAGCTGAATAAACTGAACCTGCAGCAGCAGAGTCCTCTGCTGGTGCCAAGGGGATGTGCCAGCAGTGGCACATCCTTGTCGCCAGGCTGGGATCGTGGCACTCACAGCCACTCCAAGCAGGGTCCTGATTTTCGTCCATGGGACTTTCCAGGGAAGCTTTCTGTTCACTCTAAAGTTTCCCTTGTGTGGTTTCTCCTCCTGTGGTTTTAATGACATGGGAAGAGCCTGGTCACCATCAACTCATCGTCCCACCTGCTGTTCCAGCTCCATCCCTTCCCCTAAGGGAAGTCTTGAGGCTCATTTAACATGCTGCCATCCTTTTCCTCAGCTGGGGCAAGTGGGTTGGAAACTGGCTGGACACCTTTAGGAAAGGATGGATGTGTATGGATGGAGGTGGAGGCCGCTTGGCATCCACCTTGGGGAATGACCATGGTATATGGTGGGGCTTCCCCACCATCCCTGTCTTTGGAAACGAGTTTATTTCAGATGTCCCTGATCAGCCATCCATCTGGGCCCTGGAGCTCCCTGCAAACCTCCTCTGCTGAGAAGCAGGAGGATGGGATGTGGTTCCCAAGCCTCTCCAGGTGAGCAGCTTCACCTCCCCCAGCTGGATGCGCTCCTTGCCCTGCTCCTGCTCTGTGACTTGGGTGCATTTTGCAGCCTGGCAGCAGGACGAGGCACCACGTGGGTGCCAGCACAGCCTGTTTGCAAACAGGGTGCGGGTTCAACGCCCCTCTTGGCCTGTGGAACGAGTCCATCTTGTCCCAGAGGAGCCTGAGAGCCTTGGGATGGGATTGCAGAGCAGGCTGGGAGCTCGTGTGGGTGCCCAGCTCTTCGGTGCCATCCTGCCACTGCAGGGCCGAGTAGAAAGGCTGCAGGAAGGGGGAGGTGCTCAGGGAATCCACACTCTTCTGGTCCTCCCCGGGCAAAGGAGTCAGACAGCCCAGCTGGGAGTTGCTAAATGACCCAAATCGTCCCTAAATAGCTTCTGCAGCCCTGTGCTCAGCAAGATGCCCATACTCCGATGCCTCACCCTCCAGCATCCTCCCAGGATGAGCTCACAGGGCTGAGACCCAAAAATAACTCCCTGGGGGCAGCGGGTGGGTGGGCATCACTGTCACTGTGCCATCACCAGCGTCAGCATTCCCAAGCCCCTGTTTCCAAGCCCATATGCACTCCCATTCCAGCCCCAAACCCCTCTGGCACACGGCGCCTGCGCCACAGCATCCCAGGAACCCCTGAGGGGTTGCCAAGGAAGCCTTAAAAGCCCTGGAACATCTTCCCAGCTCGTGCCTCCCCATCTGCTCTTGCTCAGGCAAATGGGCCCCCAGGAGGGCGGCCTGGCCTCGGGGACCCCTCTGTGGTCAGCTCCTGGTATGGGGAGCAACAGCAGTGCCGGAGGGTGGAATCTTTGGGATCGTGGGCCTGGATTAAATAATGTGAGGATGATGCCTCAAGTTAGGGCTGTGGGCAGCGGTGAGTGCCCATGTCCCAGGATGCCAATTCCATGTGGTGATTAATACCCCTCTGTCCTGACCCTCATCCAAATTTATGAGGTCATTTCCTCGAAATCCGTCATCCCTTCCGAGGCAATGCTTCCCAGATGTTGCAACCCATCTCTGCATTTCAGTATCTGGCTGGTGATGTGAGGCAGCACAAAGTCTGGAGCAAGAGCAGCACGTTCCAACAATCCCTTGAAGCATCAAAATCCCCCTCATCACCAAAATATTTCCAATTTTTTGTCCCAATTATGGTAACTCTTGGAGCATCCCCAGAACGCAGCTGGATTGAAATGTGCTGCAAACTTGGATTTTTAGCAGCTGCTCTTCCTCCTGCTTGCCCATAGATGGAGGAAGAGCACTGCCCCCCTCTGGGTTCCTCCTTCAGCCACCTGCTTGATGGGGGCATGTGATGTGTTAGGGGGTACATGGTGTTTTGTGGGTCTCCTCCCCCCTGCTTTGGCCCATCGGGTGCTTGGTTTGGGTGATTAAAGCCTGTGTTGGGAGAGGTGTTGACACAAGACCCCAGTATGAGCCCACAAAACAGAGATGGGCCATCCAGGACCCCATGGACCCTCTTGAGGCACTCAAGATGCCCAGGTGGCCACATCCAGATGGGCATCCTCCCAAAAAAAGGAGCTGCTTTGGAGGAGTCCGGGTCCGAACCGTGCCGGTGGTGGTGCAATGATTAATCTGGACATTCCCAGCCCAGGGCTATGGATCCAGCTGGTGACGTCCAAGGAGGGTAAATCATTCCACATACCACCAAGGTGTTGCTCTGCTGCTCAGAGGCTGATGTTTAGTTGAGGGTGGAGATATTTTGGGGAGGAATAGAGAAGATGGGGATGGAAGTGCCCAACTCCAGGTTGGATGGATCTTGGAGCAGCCTGGGATAGTGGGAGGTGTCCCTTCCTGTGGCAGGGGATGGAACTGGTTGATCTTTAAGGTCCCTTCCCACCCAAATGATGCTGTGATTTCTATAAATAACTCAGCTCCCAGAAAAACATCATAATTTTGGGAGATAGAATTATTCCCCTTCCTACTTTTCTGACACAAAGCACTTGACTTTTCATTTCAAAAATATACTTTTTCAACAACAACAACAAAAAAAACCGAAAAACAAACAAACAAACAGAAAAAACCCAGTACTCCACTCGTTTATTTTACCAAAATAGGCAAGAGTTAAAAGAAATCAACAGAAACTACTGGCTTTCACCTCTCTTTGATTGGAATCGTGTTTTCCTCCCAAATTTTGGTTCAGCCACCCAATCACAAAATGCCTCCTGCCCCAGCCTTGCCCAGGGCTGGCTTTGTGGGTTTTGTCCGGTTCCAAGTTAATGGGATTATTGTGAAACTGGTGGACGCACACTTGACGTCGACCCTGTGTAGGAGGAGGAGGATCAGCCTGAAGACTGTAAGAAACCCGATTTAGTAGGAAAAAAGGCAAGAGAAAGACTCAGTTCCCTCATTACCCTGCAGATAAAGTGCTCACAAAAGCAAGGAAGGATAAAAAATATCCTTTTCCATTAAGAGCAAATGTTTACCATGCACAATACCAACTGACCCCAGGTAATCTCGGGTTTAATGACATGGTTTAGTACCACTGAAAAGGGCCTCTTTTGTGTTTCTCAGGCTGTCTTTCAGAGATGTCTCCACTGGGGAATTTCCTACAGATATCTGGAGATATCCTGGTAACAGCAGGTGACACTTTTCAAAAGTGTCTTGTGAAACCTGTTATATATATAAATATGTATTTATGTATTTTGAGATGTGTTGTGCATTTTTTTCATGCATATTTGCATAAGCTCCAGTGCCCCGTTGCTGGCAGAGACCACTGGGAAAGGGACAGAGGGAAAGGAATTAGCAATGTGATACCTGCTCTGAATCACACCCTGCTTTTGTGGCTGCAGGATTTTGTGAGAAGGAGGTGGGGTAAATTAGATAATCTCCAGAAAATTTCCCTGCTTTGGAAACTTCCCCGCTTTTATAACCTCCACACGTCACGCTGCCTCCTCCAGGTGGGTGCTGGGAGGGTCTTGGTGGCTGGAACCCCCCTTTTCCTTCCAGGTGATCTTGGATCTTGGTCCTGGGTCTTGGACAGGTCTTTAACAGCCAGGAGAAGCTTAATCAGTGTTTGAGGTCTCCATTCCCCCTGGGGGCCTGTCACAGCTCCAGCCCATCTCCCTGTGGAACAGCAGGGCAGGGACAGCTCAAGGAAGATGCTGCCACCTCCTCAGCACTGTGCAATTCAGCACAATTAATTTTATCCACCACCACCACGAAGCTCTGCAGATCTGCACTGTGGGCTCTGCTTCCTGTTAACTCCTTTTGCAGCTTTCACTGAGTTGTTCCTCAAAATCTTCCACAGGCTCAAGTGGATTTTCACTTGTGTGAAAAAATCCAGTCCCTGGATTTCAAGAGAATTCAACTTATGTCCATCACCTGTCCCATGCCTCCTGTTTGGACATGCCACAGCCCTTCTGCAGGAGATTTCTTTCCCTGGTGGCATTTCTCAGACTGCTGTTTGGACCTGGCTGCCCTGGGCCTTTTCAAATCAGTGCTTTGCACTTGCATCCTCAGCCCACTTCCACTCCCTCTGCAAATATTTCATCCTGTTCAGCTGCTTCACTCTCATGAGCTTCCTCATTTCTCTGTAATTTCCCTTTTTGCAGTTAAACACTGCAGCATAAGGAATTTTTTCCCACTGAAAATAGTTTGTAGCAATACTGAACCTTCTCTGCTA